ATACTAAAGATTATAAAGAATGTTTATATCAATATGTTATTATCTCTTATATGTAATGATCAAGCAGTCATCATTTTTGGTATCTCTAGCCAATATAGAACCAAAAAGAAATAAGATATCTAGAAGTTATGTAATATCTTGAGATCTAAAAAAAATTTAAAATTTTTGTCTATATGGCACAATAAAGAAAAATCATTCCAAGAATATATTTTTACAAAAATATCCTGAATATAATATTGATATTAAGTAAACATATCTTGGGTTTTTAATTAAAGTTATAGAGCAGACTTCTATGATTCTAATAGTAATTGAAATGTTAAATTTGGTTCAGTAATTAATGTTCTATAATGATTTAAAGAAATCCTGAATCTCTTATTTTTTTTCTTCTTTTGTTATCTTCAAGAAGAATTTTATAGATATAGAAAAATATTATCATTATTTTGGAAATGATTTACAAGTCAGAGAAGCATTTTCATATTATTATATAATATAATAAAATTTATAGAGCAGTCTTTTGTGAATATGCTGATATGTATTATATTTCTATAGGATCAAAACTTATCGAGATATTAAAGAAAAATAAAATATATTCAAAATTATTATTATAAAATTTCTCTTCTCTCTTTCTTTTCTCTTTTTTTTAGATATTTGTATTAAATTAATAGATCTTAATACTTAGATAAAAAATATAAAAGGACTTTCTATAAATCTAAAGGAGGTGAGTTCTTTCAAAACAGACAAGTAGATAGTGAGATATTAAGGGTCAAAGTTTGTGTACTGATATTCAGAAAAAGAAAATTTTAAAAAATTATTTGTAATAAGAAGGGAGTTAAAACTTTAATGATTTATAAAAGATCAGAGAAGTATTTTGTTACTAAGTAACATATATATCAAAATATAAAAAAAATATTCAAGAATCTAAAAAAGATGAGATTTCGAAAATAGGATAAAAATTCATAAAGATATTAAAGAAAAATGATAATCAATTAAATTTCATTTTTTTATTAAAGAAGATTTGTTAGATTCATCCAAAAATTTTTATTTTTTCATCAGAAGTCATCAAAATGTTACAGAATTGCAACCTTCTTGGTATAATACAACCAAGTAATAAGGTTATCTGATACAGTAATTGACTATTATAAATATATACAGGATAGAGGTCTAGTAGTTTACTTTACTATATAGCAGTAGGCAAACAGTTCGAGATAATAATAGTATATAGATTAATTTTTTATTAACAATACACATAGTAATAACCTTGTCTGTAGGAATTACCCTAGAGAGAGAATATCATATTTTATAATTAAAAGGTCATTATGTCTAAATTGAAGTATAGAAACTTAAAATTAGTAAAGAAAAGGAAAAGATACTCTTTATATATCTTTTTACCTAATAGGAATAGTGGAGGTTTGAGTGACATCTCTTGATACTATATTTGGAGTAGTGAGAATTGTGCAAAAGTAAGTAGAGTTTGTATAAGGATAGTTGGGATAATATTTATGTACTGTATATTTGTCATTTGTACTTGAAACACTTGAGACATGTGTCAAGATACTTGAGTCTGTACAGAAACAGTTAGAGATTGTTTAAGAATACTTGAGATTATGCAAGAACACTTGAAGATTATGTTGAGATACTTGGAGATTATGGAAAGGATATTTGAAGATTGTTGTACTGTGTTATTTGGTACAATAAATTGTATTAGAATATATGAAACTTGTATAGAGATACTTGGGATTTGTAAGACAATAATTACATTATAGATGTTACCCAATGTCATATGTCTGTATCACACTTCTAATAACCAATTAAGATTCTATTATTTAACTACTATATACTATAATATAACTATGCTAATAAATATAATATAAAATATAATAATAAATATATAATAACTACTAATAATATAATATACTATACTATGCTAAAAATCTTTTTTGTAACAATATAATAGTGTTACTATTGAAGAATATGATAAGGATTGTAAAGATTTGTATAGTTAAATAAAAGAAATAGTGACAGTAGGTATTGTTTAGTGAGAGAGTCTATTTGTTTATTAAGATAGTTATCTGAATGAGTCTGTATTTTGTGAAAAGTAATTTGTAATTTGTATAATTTAATAATGTTAGAAAAATATACCAAATTGGTTATGAATTAAATTTGAATAACTTGTTAGAGTAGATTGACTTAAGTTGAAGATTATTAAATTTAAAGATTACTAATTGAGAGTCTGTAAAGATATTAATAATACAGTTTTGAGAAGCAGTTGAGATTGTAATAATAATTGAGAAGAGTTCTACTTTGTAAGATGAAGTCCAAAATTTAATTTTAATAGAAAAAGAATTAATAATTTGATTATTATTATCAACTTGGATCCAACCAATACTTATTGTGCATTGGTCAATACCAATATTAATTACAGATCCATCAATATAAAAAGATAGTTGTTAGTAAAAAAGATTGTGATATGAAATAGATATAAGTTTGTTAATAGATTTGCTTAGAATAAAAATTTTAAAGGCAATAGAATTGATAATAAGAATATTAGATGAAGAAGAAATATAAGTTGGATATTTGATAGCTATAGAGCAGATAAGATTCAAATAATTGATATTAAAGTTAAATTGGTACTTTGAATTAGTTCTACCAAGAAATTGTATAGAAATAATTGTAGAAACTTTAACAATACAGGTTTGGTTAATTCTATGAGAATTAAGATAATATTCTATATATTGTTTGTAGCTAACAAGGTGTAAAGGATAAAATTTTGTATAGTTTAAGTCTATATTAAAGGTCCAATGAAAGATAGAGTAGTAGTTAAAAAATAAAAAATATTTTCATATTTTCTTAATAATAATTTCATCATTGTAGTATGAGAATAACCAGAATTTAGATTTAGTAAGTTTTTTGAATATATTAATAATATAATAAGTATAAAGATTGTAATCTGATAATTGATAATATAGTAAAATATTTCAATAATAAGAGTGTACTAAAATTGTTTCTTCAAAATAAGAAAACCAGAAAGGTTTTTTGCCTTTAGATAAGTATAATAATCTTGATAAGAGATATTTTTAGTCAAGTAAAGTATTGTTATCTGTAGTACAAAGTTGTTTAAGATACATAATGTTTGATTGTTTAAGTTGTTTTTTAAAGATTGAATATTTTAGATACTGTAATAGAATAGACTCTGATAATTGACCATCATTACTAATTATATAAAACCAAGTTAAGTTGGAATTAACTAAGATGGTTAATTCAAAATAAGAAAAGAGTTGAGTAATTTTAAAATTTAATGAATATTTATTAGAACTATCTATAATAGATTTGTAATGATATAGTATACTAGTAGAAAACTATAGGTTATTTTGTAATTGTTGAAGTCTAATTCGAATTGTAATACTGAGAAGATCAGGATTGTTAATTCATTGGAAATAGTTAAAGATGTGATATTGAAGTTAAATATCCCAGATATTATGTATATTGTATAGAAATAGATTAAGCATTGTACTATTTGGTATAGATCTAGAAAGATAAGATTTGAGTTTAGTTATAATAAGATATTTGGATAAGATTTGGTTGCATAACAAATAAGTTTATAAAAAATAATAACCATAATAATAATATAAAAAGTTTTAAAAATATAAAAAAAACTGAGTTCTACCTTATATACTATATATAACATTCTTCATAAAAGTAGAATCAAAAGAAATTAATATAAAAAAAGTATTAATTAAAGACCTACTTTCAAAAAAAAATACAAAACAGATTAATATAATGTTTAAATACAAAATCAAGCAATAGTTTGAAAACATAGTAGTAAAATATTTGAGACATGTTTTATAAACAGATTTAAAGAATATAATATAAAAAGAATAATAAATAAAAAAACAAATAAAAACAACAATCAAAATAAAGAAAGAAACTCAAAAAAAAAAGATTTATGCAAAAAAAAGAAGACAAATTAGTAAAAAATAGAAAAAAGAAAAAAGAAAGCAAGAGAAAAAGAAAAATAAATTGAAGAAGAAGCAAAAAAACAATGTTAAAGCTTGTTATAAAAGAGAAAAAACTTTTTTATTACAAACTTTAATTAAACAAACAACTTACTTCTGCTTAAAATAATGCAACAAGTTACATTTAGGTACCATTAGATGGCTAGATAATGCTAGACTTAGTTGTTATGTATATAATTGCAAAAGTAGATTTAAGAATTTTAATAAAGTACTAGTATGACTGCTTAAAAAAAAAAAAGTTTTATTAAGTTAAATTATGTTTTATAAACTTGATTTTTATATATATATTTTTTATTTGCTTTTTTTATAGTTCAGTTTTTTTAATTTAGTTGAAACTCTTTACAACTAGTCTCAACTTTTTATATTATTTTTGTTTTTGTATTTTTTTTTTTTTAATTTTTATATTAATTTTTGTTTTTTTTTATTACAAAATAAAAACTTTATAAAGGATGCAATCACTGCTTCAAATCACTTTTTATTTAATAAAAGATATGAATATCAAAAATGTAAAGTATAAATATCAATTTTTTAAAAAATTTAGTATTTTGTAATAAATTTTGTACTAAATTTAGTACACCTTATGGATACCCATTAAAATTTTTATAGTGACATACTAAAAATAGTTATGAATAATTACTAATTAATTTTGACAAATTAATCTATATTCAACCCATTTTACAATAAGATATACAATACTGCCTAGAGTTAATACTTTACTATGTTTTTATATCCAGATTTATTTTATATCCGGATTATATCCGGATAATATTACTATGTTTTAATATAAATTTTTAGCAAAATATCAATCCGGATATATTTATATCCGGATTGAAGTATTAACTCTAATACTGCCACTATTTTTTATTATACAACATACGGTGAAAGTTAAATTTTAATTATGAGAGATGAATTAACATAGCAAGTAACAGAATGATAAAACACGGTTTGCAGCTTTTGCTATCATTAATTTATACCAGCTGACACCGTTCACTTCTTCCTATCATTCTTCCATTTATAAGTTGATAATCCATTCGCGTCAACGCCAATTTTAGTTCGACGGCCCTTTCCCTATAATTACAAAATAATAAAAAATCATAATAAATTATAATAATGAAACCGTAAATAAAGGTTTTTTTAAAAAAACGAACCATCAAATTTTTTTGAGTTTGTAATTCTTGTTCCGCTTTTTTCAATTGTTTTTGTCGTTTTATGCGAGCTTTTAGATCTTGATATTTCAATACCTTATTTTTATGTAATATCTGTTATGTTTTGTATTTTTAAATTCTTAACATAAGCGAAATATAGAATATGTATATAAAAGATCATGAAATGAAGACAAACTCTTACTTGTAATTCTTCTTCATCCGGTATCATTATGACATCATTTTCTAACGTTTTAATACGCGGCCTATTAAACTTGCGATTAACCAATTCAGGTAAAGTGTCAAAATATTTTGCCGAATCGAATTTCTTGGCTATAATTGTGAATTTTTAAATAAGAAAAAAAATTCAAATAAATGCAACATTAAGGTTAAGATTAATAATAATAAATTTTAATAAACCTTCTTTTTTAGAATCGAAAAATATTATATGCTGAGGTTTCTTTGATTCAAACATTCCTTTCGATAATTCATCATCTATATTCATATCATTTTGAACAAGATCTGAATCAACGAAATGTAATTCATTTTGAATTTTTTCAATTTTCTATGATAAAAGACAATAAGTTGGACTTAGAACATTTAATTAATCGCAATTATAAAATAGATGATCAAACCTTATTTCCAAGATCACGTTGAGTTTTAACATAATTTAAATCTTGAGACTTTAATAATTTAATCATATCTCCTGAAAAGGCTGAATTACGTTCTATTACGTGGACACCTTCCTAAAATTTATTAAAGAGGGTTAAATAAAATCAAGAATTGTAATAACTGTTATCCTGAAAGAGATAAGTATTATACATACCTTAGTCTTGCTATTAATCATTTTAAAGTAAAACTCGTCAGGATTTCTAAAATATGCTTTTTCTCGCATATTTTTGAGCCTTTTTTGTTTTGCATGATAATCTCTTGCTCGAAGCACATAATCTTTGTGTTTCTCGAGTAAACCATATTTCTCTCTGGAACGTGGTTGCGCTCGTTCCTTATGGTTACGTCTCTTAACGGCGTTACGTAGAGAAGACATTTAAGTTACTTTATAGTTAGACTATCGAGATCGATTTTTGTATATGATCTGTCCAATCAACTTATATGATTTTTCATTGGTTAATCAATATCTTTAAAAAAAAATTTAATTAGAAAATCGATCTTCCTCTACAAATTCCTATCCTTTGATTGTTCTAAAACATATGGTAATTTTTTATTCATTCAAAAAAAATTAAGATATTAATTACAATATAGAATGGTTATTAATCATTATTGCTATTTATTCATAGTCTAAGAAACAAAAGAAAGTCAAAGTTGAGGAAAACATCTCTCTTGGACCACAAGTCCGAGAAGGTGAACTAGTCTTCGGCGTAGCACACATTTTTGCATCATTTAACGATACTTTTGTTCATGTCACTGATTTGTCTGGCCGTGAAACGATCGTTCGCGTTACTGGTATGGATTAATTTATAAATTATTTTAGATTATTTTATGTAATTGGCTACATGGAAAACAAAAAAAAATGTATTACATAAAGGGAATACCCAAATTACAAATGAGTCTGTCTGTACAAGAGATAAATGACTCAAATACATTATGCATTGATAAACAGTTAGATTTCCATACATTATATTGATTTAATGTACAATTTATTGGAAGGTTATCACAAGATCTACTTCCAATAATTGCTGTTGAAAAAAATTGGGACTAGTGGTGAAACACATAATCCCTTTTGAACAAAAAAAAACTGATGCTGAATCCCTTTGCTTGTTTTCTTTTCGTCTTGTCGCGCATTGTGTCTTCGAATTGTTGAAATCCAGGTGGTATGAAAGTAAAAGCCGATCGTGATGAATCATCACCCTACGCCGCTATGTTGGCTGCTCAAGATGTCGCAGCCAAATGTAAAGAGTTGGGCATCACTGCTTTACATATTAAACTCCGAGCCACTGGTGGTAATGGTACAAAAACACCTGGTCCTGGTGCTCAATCCGCTTTAAGAGCCTTAGCTAGAGCAGGCATGAGGATTGGTAGAATTGAGGACGTTACGCCTATTCCCACTGATAGCAGTAAGTATCATAATGTTATCTACTATAATTTTATACAGAATATTTGTTTATATGTTTTTTTTTTTAAAGCTCGCAGGAAGGGTGGTCGTAGAGGCAGACGTTTGTAAAAAAAAAAAAATAATAATCGGATTTGTGGTTTCATTTATTCATTAATTGTGTAGCTTTATATAATGGTATAAAATAATAAACTATGGATTATATCCACCTACCAATACATGGCGTAAATTGACAAGCTTTGTATAGATGATGAAGAATTTCTAACCAAGTATTTGACATGTGGTCAATAATATTCTATCAATTACTCGATATTTTTTCGTGATAAGTTCTTGCCACCTGTATCTGACTAGTGATGCTTAACGAAACTGACGAGGAAACCAAGGCGAAATGATATAATTTTGTTAATGATTTTATTAGAGCTTTGTCATTCGTCAATTGCAAAATAGTTTCGTCAGATATAGACGAACAAGTCCTACTTTTTATGGATGTTCTTATTCACCTCATTCAGTCTTAGATAGGGATTGGAACTGCTCAAAATTAGCCGGCTTTTGAGCTGAGCCATGATAAGCCGGCTCCATCGGCTCTACTCGGTTTATCAGCCAAACTGAGCCGGCTCAAGACAATCCCATCCCTAGTCTCAGGTAAACTTAATAGCCGAAAATCGAATAAACTAAGCGAATAGTGGAAATTAGTTATTAATACTTCCAATTATTTTCTCTAATGTTTTTACACAATTAGTAATAATAAGAATTGTAACATTATTAGATAGGTCGGTCAACATTCAGCACTAAATAAAATTTGATTGTAATAATCTAAGCTAGTGTTGATTAAAATGGAACAGGGTGAAACCCGCATTGCTACGTAGCTAGTAATCCGCTATTTCGATCGGGCTAGGATGAAAATATTCTAGTCTTCAATTTTCTAAGCTTCATGCTTGGTGTTATCATATAGTACCTGTGATTCAAGAATATAGATCAATAAATAGTATAATCATGGAAACTTATGAGACTCTTTATAAGTTATGTAAAAGGATCTTATCGCATGTCAAATAAAAAAGGTTATATGAAACAAATATTAAGGATGGTAAGTAATATATAGTAATATATAGTAAATAATCATTATCTATTGTTAAATACTGATTAAAAAAAAATTATATTTTAATTATATAATATTTTGTAATATATAGCACAAGTTATAATTTAATCATTTGATAATGTATTATCTAACATTTAAGTTATGATTTGTGTTATATATTATAAGATATTATTTAGTTGAAATGTAATTTTTTTTTAACCAGTAAATAAATATTATTAGGTTATATAACAAAAATTAACTAAAAAAAAAGTATAAAAGAAATATTATCAAAGGGTTTGAAAAACTTTTGTAGACATTAAGTTTAGAGGATTTGGATGATTTTTTTAAAAAAGATAAAAATAAACTTGATCCACTACAAGTTAAAGGCTTTCAAAACCTATTATCTGTTTTCAATGAATTTTTTGAAAAGGAACTAATTTTGACTCTTAACAATTTTAATTGGATAGAAATATTTTTCTCAACTTCATTAGAAAGTACTAATATAATTTATGTCATATTAAGTTTTTATGATAAATCTATATTTTTTAATAATATCATAAGTGGTTATAAAAATAAAGAAGAAATAAATTAGTATAACTTGATATGTATTTTAACATCTATCTAATATTAAAAAAGAGTTAATATCGATAAGTAAAATAACTCTTAAAGTTGGACAATTTTTTTATTTTCATTCAATGTCAAGAATAAATTATAACTAATATAAATATTATTATAAAGGTTCTTCTGATATTTAAATTGTATTAGACATATAAAGAACTACTAGAATTTATCTTAGTTTACTGATATGAGGAAGTTGGTGAATTATAGAACTTTCCTAAATTGAAGCTACTTGCACACTACAATTATATACTATTAGATAGTATAGATAGAACAGGGCATATAGTTCTGAGATTTAATAAAACAAATGAATATTTAATGAACTGTTTCATGTTTTAACATTAAATTAAATTTAAAAATGCTTATTTTAAGTGTATATGATATGTTAATATTTAAGGTACTTACTTTAAAGTATCAGTATATCTATATTTGTATATAAATATATTAGGTATGTATTATGTATTGATTAGTAACAATAAATTTTTTTTTTTTTTTTTTTTTGCTAAGGTCATACTTGTGATGATACTTTATTGACTTTATATTAGATTAGTTATTACAACTATTTTTACAGAGATGAGAGTACAGCTAGTCACATGTGCAACTTTTGGTTACCTATTTAAGTAGTCCACCCTAAGGTTCTACACTAGATGCCATACCTATAACCTACTAGGAAATTATTTATTTAAATCCTCTGATCATCCACCCTGTCATATTGGAATTCCCAAACTAACTCCTGTATATACCTATCCAGTATACCGTCTGAGCAGTATGGTACCTACTCTTTTTATACTGGTTCCCAGGCCATTACACATTTCAGAATACGTCACCTGCCAGTAAGATGCAGAAGGCCTTCTATTGTTAACTATCTATCCACTTTTAAAATACTAACATGGGTTACTCTTATAGAGTTTACCCAGACTTCAGTACTGACTTCACAGCATATCCTTAGTACTTTTAGTATACCCCTGCTTTGAACCCAGACTCCCAATTTAGATAGCCTGGAAGGACTGTGACCTGTTCTTGATATATTGAGGCTGGCCCAATATCCTTTTCCTTTGGTCCGAAATCTGGCAGCCTGGTTGGTAGTACTCTTCACCTGAGGTTCTTGCCCGTACGAATCCTTTACATTGGTATCTATTTTCTAGGTCTAGCTTTTACAGTAGTACTGTCAAAGATCTATGTTACCTCTTAGCTCAGAATTTTCAAGTGGGCTCTGGCTTCCCAGTTCTACAGATTTACACAGCCTAAGAACTTATTTTAGGTTTGCACTACCTGGTACTGGTTTGCATTCCTCTGTGTAACAGATTACACAGATGCCCCAGACCTGCCAGTCATGTTGGTGCGACCATAGTTACAGGTATCCTATCCCAACTGATCAACAGAATGCCATCACCATAATATCGTCTATATATTACATAGATGATTATTCAAATTTTGCCATTGGTAAGTTTTGAACTCACAATCTACCACTTGGAGATATGACAACTTATTCACTTCACTAAGTCGCCACACCCTTAACAATAAATTTTTTTTTTTTTTTTTTTTCTTCTTTGACAGTCTTTTCAGAACTTTAAGACAGACTTTTACTAATTTAACCA